CGAAGGCTGTGGTCCACATTCTCCTGCTCCGACTGCTTCCTGACCCACCTGGTGCTTCCCACTGCAGCCTTGCCTGGCCACGCACGCCCCCTTCCCTTGGGGTCTGTGAATAACTGTCTTTTCAGTGGCAGTCATCTCCTGATCTGTTGGCCTCGCCATCCCTGAATAATAATAAAATCTACTTTTAAAAAAACACATATCTTGACCACACCACTCAGCATCTGGGATCTTAGTTCGCCGACCCGGGATTGAACCTGCAACCCCTGGACTGCCCGGGAAGTCTCACGATCTATCTTTTAAAGCAGGGTGTTTGGCCAGCCTCCCCAGTGAGGGGCCATAGCCAGCTGCCAGCGCCAAGCACCATACGACTGGATATGCCTTCAGCTGACTCTCCCCACCAGCTGAAGCTGATTCTGAATTCCTGACCAACAGAAGCCAAAAGAGAGATGGATGGTTATTTGCTGTTTTAAGACTGAATTCCAGGATAAGTTGTTACACAGCAATACACAGTTTTTCCTTTAAATTTTTCTAAATATTCCAAGTTTTCTACAATGAACAGCTTTTATTAAAAAAAAAAAACTTTTGACCAATGTTATTTTTAAAAAGACAACTGGGCAAGCGTGAGGCATCTTGAATCTTTATTAAGTTCTTTCTACTCCACTGGAAATGACCACATTCGCCAGCAGGATTATTCTTCTTAATACAAATGTTTATCCAGTAACGAGTTAATACAAAACAACAGTTTCACAACCACAGAAAAGGTCCAGTACCAGCAGGACGGTTTTTAAAAGTCATGCCACAAATGTGCCAATCCCAAACATTGTAGACATGATAGATCTATAAAAATGAGTAGGAAAGACAATCAGAGCTCCTGGTCGCTACCCCACCCCCACCCCCACCGAAAGGGCTTAACAAGCCGCAGGGTCTACACTGCGCACAAGTGGGCAGATTCCTTGTGAAACAGGACTGGTCATTCCCCAGAGTCAGAGCCTGAAATTTGAAATTGTTTACAGAGGCAAAGCTGCTCTTCCAAAATCTCTGGATTCCCCCTCTTCCTCCCGCCTTCCCAACGCTTCCTGAACTAATACCCACATGTCCAGGTGTGCTGCCCACCCAAGGTCTAAACCACTCAGCTCCAAGGGCCCCTGAACATGGAAGCATCACCAGGACAAGAGACCCCCAAAGTCTGACGCTGTGTTTCCCTCAGGGGGGTCAGGGTTGGGAGTGACCAGATCCTCAGAGCTCCCCATATGGCCCTGGGACACCCAGGCTCCCGAGGCATGGCACCATGCTGACCCCTGCCGATCTTGGCCAACTGGCACGAAGCCCCTAACACCAAGGCCCAGGGCTTTTCAGAGGGTGCGCCAAGAGCACCTCCCAGAACTGAGGATGCCACAGAATCAGTCCAGGGGTTGCAACCAACAGCTTGAAAAAAATGCCACAGGATAAGATAGAGCCGGGGGGTTGGAGTAGGTTAGGGAAGGTCACAGTGCACCCACCAGCAGGTCCTGTTTCAGGGCGGGACATATAAACCGGAGTCGCCGTGTAAAACACATTTCTTATGATGGGTATTAAGAAGGCTTGGAAAACACGAACACCAGCTAATCCATGTGCCCTGCAGCCTGACTCCTCGCAATCACACGGGGCCAACCCCGGGACGCACAGGTCACCCTCCCGAAACAGGCTGCCGGGCCACCGCCGGGATGGGCGCCTCCCCTCCGACCACCACCATGAGCGTACACGTCGGTTCGAAAGCCCATTGCGAGGCCAGGTTTGCAAGAAGGTGGGGGGGCGGAATGGGCAGAGATTCTGAGAGGACCTGAGGTGGATTCATCAGTCACGGCTCTGCCGGGCCCAGCAGACCCCAAATCCTCACCCAACAGGCCAGGTGGATGAGAGCAGTCACTTCTCCACACGTGGACCCATTTGAGTGTGTGTACACTGCCGTGTGCTGGTGGGAAAGCCGTCGGCTGGACACGCGCGCCTTAAGAAGACAAGCACCACGGGGCAGCAGGAAATACCCGCGGTCTCACCCTCAGAGCTGCCGAGGCGCGGGCAAAACTGACGGAATTCGGGGATTCAGCAGCCAAATCAGGAGCAACCTGGCCCCAGAAGGATGTTAAGCAGACGCCTTCACCTGCTGCCCAGAGCTCAGCCCTCGGGAGCAAGACAGCCCAGACCCATGGGAGGAGGAAGGGTGCCTCGGCCAGGGACCGCGCCCTGGATTCCAGGCCCCGCCCGCTGGGCCGCCCTGGGCAAGCCACTCGGCCTCTCCGAGCAGCCTCAGTCTCCCCAAGTAAGATGCACAAACAGCAGTTTCATCTTGCCAGACTTTGCGGGGAGAAGTACATGAAAACATGGATGAGAATAAGCACTCGTCTGTAACTGTGTGTGATTGTGCTCAGATGCCCAGCCGTGTCCCACTCTTGGTGACCTCCTGGACTGTAGCCCGCCAGGCTCCTGTGTCCATGGCAATCTCCAGGCGAGAATACTGGAGCAGGTCGCCTTTTCCTTCTCCAGGGGCTCTTCCCGACCCAGGGATCGATCGCTGTCTCTTACGTCCCCTGCATTGGCGGGCAGGTTCTTCACCACTGTGGCACCTGGGAAGCCCCCCGACTGTGTGTACCTGACCTGCCAATCATGAAGAGGGGATGCAGCACAGAAACGCCTGCCTGGGGTGTGGGCCGCGGCCCGCCGGTGAACAAGCTCCCCAAAAGGCAAAGCTCTGATGTGCGGGCTGTGCCGATTTCCACAATTGTAGATATTCCCCTCTGGCCAGATTCACGCTAGCCGTGGTTTAAGGACTTTCCAAAGTCCTGATAACTTAACAGTCGGGCTCCATGGCACCAGACATGTGTAAAGCTCACCAGTGCCCTCAGGGCCTTCTCACCTCCCTCCAGCAGCTGGCCGCATCGGCCAGGGTCAGCATCCACACCCAGCAGCACGCCCGCCAGCCTCTCCCTCTTGTGAGCCACCAGACCACCTCTTGTTGTTCAGTGGCTCAGCCGTGTCGCATGGACTACAGCACGCCAGGCTTCCCTGTCCTTCACCATCTCCCAAAGCTTGCTCAAACTCATGTCCGTTGAGTCGGTGATGCCGTCCAACCATCTCAGCCTCTGTTGCCCCCTTCTCCTCCTGCCCTCAATCTACGGGCCACCTGGAGGACACACAGACACGTGCTCCCCTCCCCCTCCACCGCTCACACCTCACGCCTCAGAGGCTGGCTTTTCCAAACTCCCAAATAATCCCGCTCTCCTTCAGGGATGAGGACGGTGGCCAGTTGTAAGAACAATCCGCCCAATGTCCACAGGAATGGTGGTGGCCAGGATGGGGCAGTCCACATTAGCAGGAAGCAAATTCCACCTACCGTGTGCATGGGGCCGAAAGCAAACACACTACATACGAGGCAAAACTTGATGGTGAAAGATCCTCGTCACAGATCAATCTATATTTGTCTCCTGAATTAAAAGAATGACTAAAGAAATTGTGGTATGTCCACTTAATGGAGGCTTTTAAAAGAATGTTTACATAGAGCTTGAAATAAGGAGAAATGGAAGTCATTTTTTTAAGCAGGCTATAAAGGTGTCTATGGCAAGAAAAGAAAACATCAAAATTTAAAAGTACACCTTGAAAAAAAAATAAAAAAAAAAATAAAAAGTACGCATCGAGGGACTTCCGTGGCAGTCCAGAGGTCAGGACTCTGCACTTTCACTGCAGGAGGGCCTGGGCTTAATTGCTGGTCAGGGAACTAAGACCCTGCAGCTCTCCCAGCCAAAATGAACAAAAAATAGTACCTACTGAGTGAGGAGAACAGAAAGAAAAAAACTAGGAGTGGTTTTCTGAGGCATGTGTGTGTGTTTTAGTTGCTCAGTAGTGTCTGACTCCTTGTGACCCTACACACTGCAGCCCACCAGGCTTCTCTGTCCATGGAATTCTCCAGGCAAGAATACTGGAGTGAGTTGCCATTCCCTTCTCCAGGGGATCTTTGTGACCCAGGGATCAAACTGGGGTCTCCCGTATTATGGGCAGATTCTTTACTGTCTGAGACACCAGGGTTATCTGAGGTAGATGCTGGCAAATATTTTCTACCTTGCTAGCATTTTCTGAAATTTTTATAGTAAACATTTATTATTATAATGAAAACATCTTTAAGAAAACAACCCCCAGGGGAATTCCCTGGCGGTCCAGTGGTTAGGACTCCCAAGTTTCCACCACCGTGGGCCCAGGTTTGATCCCTGATTGTGGAACTAAGATTCCACAAGCTCTGGTGCAGTTAAAAAAAAAAAGAAAGCTGAAAGAGACACGTGCACCCCAATGTTCATCGCAGCACTGTTTATAATAGCCAGGACATGGAAGCAACCTAGATGCCCATCAGCAGACGAATGGATGAGGAAGCTGTGGTACATATACACCATGGAATATTACTCAGCCATTAAAAAGAATTCATTTGAATCAGTTCTAATAAGATGGATGAAACTGGAGCCCATTGTACAGAGCGAAGTAAGCCAGAAAGATAAAGACCATTACAGTATACTAACACATATATATGGAATTTAGAGAGATGGTAACGATAACCCTATATGCAAAACAGAAAAAGAGACTCCGATGTATAGAACAGACTTGTGGACTCTGGGAGAAGGCGAGGGTGGGATGTTTCAAGAGAACAGCATCGAAACACGTATATTATCTAGGGTGAAACAGATCACCAGCCCAGGTTGGGTGCATGAGACAAGTGCTCGGGCCTGGTGCACTGGGAAGACCCAGAGGGATCGGGTGGAGAGGGAGTTGGGAGGGGGGACCGGGATGGGGAATTCATGTAAATCCATGGCTAATTCATTTCAATGTATGACAAAAACCACTGCAATGATGTAAAGTAATTAGCCTCCAACTAATAAAAATAAATGAAAAAAAAAAAGAAAGCAAGCCACCCCCTCCTAGTCACTAGGATACATGCTGCCTCCAGCCACAGGCATCTTAGGCCCCTCCAGACTGCCATCCCGATGTGGGCAGACCTCGTTTCCCCGTGGGCTCCTGTCTCCCTCATCCTGCAGTACCAGGGCTCCAGACCCACCTGGGGCAGAGGCAAAGCTTGTCACAAACAGCCCGAGGTGTCTTCCGATGAGCAGAGACGCAAGAGGAAAGGCAGGGCAGTGTCCCTGGAGACCCTGGTCAGGAGCTTGCCCCATCTGGCCCCAGACGTAGAGGGACCAAGACTCACACGAAACTTCTCGCCCCGTCTTCAGCCTCAGGGAGGAGAAGGTGGAGCCCGCGCCACCGCGATCACCATCCCCCGTTCCGTCCGCACGTCTCTCCGAGCACCCGCTAGGCGCCAGGTGCTCTGCTGGGCATGCGGTCGTGTCAGTGCCCCACGATCCTGGGGCCTGCGCTCGACGCCAAGAGAGCCTCCAGACCCCCGCCCACTGCCCTCTCCGCGCTGACGCACCCGCGTCTCCAGGTTCAGCTAGAAGCAGATAGCGTTGGTCTATGGTAACGCCGCTGACCGCGCGTTGACAGATGTGAAACAAGATGGACAACGCTGGATCTACCCGCGGTTCTCCACAACGTTTAGTCTAGGCCCCTGGCCCCGCCAAGACCCTGCCAGAGGCTTCCCAAACTTAAAGTGTTTTCATAATGATTGTTTTTGTTGTTTAGACGCTCAGTTATGTCCAATTCTTTGCGACCCCGTGGACTGTAGCCCACCAGGCTCCTCTGTCCAAGGGATTCTCCAGACAAGAATACTGGAGCCGGTTGCCATTTCCTCCTCCAGGGGATCTTCCTGACCCAGGGATCAAACCTGCATCTCCTGCATTGGCAGGTGAGTTCTTTACCACCGGGCCACCAGGAAAGCCCTTTCATAATGATACAACGACCGTATCTGCCTCTTTCCCTCACCTGTACCCACACCTGTAACCTGTGGGTACTCCTGAGCCGCTCTGCCCGTGGGGAAGTGGCTGCTGGGGCTTCCCCGGGCTCCTTCAGTACCCCACAAAGCCGTCCCCAGAGCCTGCATCTCAGCATCTGATCACACAGTATGCGGTGGCGCGTTTGACAGGTCCTTTTCTGACCAGGTCACCAGGCCCATCTCTCAGCCTCTGAGCTCCACCTGCCCGTCTCAGCACGTGTGGGGGCTGTGAGCACCACCCTGCCCTGTTCCTGACGGAGACCTGGGTCCGACTGCAGTGGCTCGAGCAGGGTTACAGGAGAACCTCCAGAGCGCTTCAGCTTTCGCAAATACAGAAAACAGAGCTGGGCAGAGTTGAAACCTGCCCCCCCAGAAGCCCCAGGACTGACCCCTCTGTGCGGGGCATCCACCCACAGCCACAGTGGCCTTAGGGCTTCAGATCCAGGCCCACTGACGAGTCCCATCTCTGCGGCCCCCCTCCACTTTCCTAGGATTCTTCCCCAGCCCGACCCAGGGGCTGGTGGAACGGTGGCTGCTCAGCCCTGCTCCCGCTGTACATGCAATTGCAACTGGCAATCGAGACAGAAAGGCAGCTCTGGTCTGTGACAGTGACTGAAACCCCTCCCCTGGGCTGGGGGACCAGCCCTGGCTGAGCTCTGCTCTGGGCCTTTCAGGGAAGCCCGGCCGGCTGGCAGCCAGGCCTCCTGCAGCAAACATGCCTGCTCGCGTCTGTCGTGACGATCGCCAGTGGACTAACTGAGCAGGTGGTCAACAGCAGGCCGGTCCAGCGGCGTGGGATGCCGTCGGGGCCCCCCACCCCCGCTCCTGCCTTCCTCCCCAACTGTTGCACCAGCTCCACCTCTCGCCCTGCCCTGGAAGTGCCCGCCTAACTCAGGAGCGGTGGCTGAAGTGCCAAAATGTCCAACAGGCCACTCTGCGGCCAACCCCTCCCTCCCCCGGCTCCTTGGGACACAATAGCTGCCTTGCTGGGTCATCCTGGCACAGGATAGCCTCAAAGGAGGACAGGACGAGGGAGCTGGCAGGCATCTCAATTTCCAGTGTCCTGACCACCCCGCCCCTCACCCCCGGGCACAGCCTAGGTTGCTACTGGGACGGAGTCTTACCTAACGAGAGACTAAGGAATGTCTTTTCCTTGCCTGCAATGTTTGTGATATATGTGAAGGAATGCCAGGGTCTTGGGTTAAATGGCATCCTGGGAAGTTCATTTTCACTTCATCTTAGCCAAGAGGCCGAGAAGCGATGAGAAATTCATTTTCAGAATCATGCTGGGAAAGAGAGACAGTTCATGGGCAGCAGGTCCTGAATTGGAGTTGGGGGGTAGGGGCAGTGTGCTCAAGGCTGCACAGAACACCCTCCAGGGTCCTCCCAGCCTGTCTGTAGTCAGACATTCCACCATTAGTGATTCATTCCTTCGGGAGGCACAGGCTTTGCCACGCCTCTCATTAGCATCATCTGGGATTGCTTTCCAACTCAGGGAGCTAATGAGGAGAGCAGGCCGAAGTGTTTTACATTCAGCCTCCTGCTGACTCTTCCAGCAACCCTGCGAGGTGTTGCCTTACCACACTCATCTTACAGCAGGGGACACCAAGGCTCAGAGAGGCTAAGGAGCCGGCCCAAGCCTTCACAAAGGGGTGGGAGGATGCTGGACTTGGTCCCGAGTCTAGCAAGACACAGTCCCCCCCTCCAGGAGCGTGTGTGGGGCAGCAGGCACAAGTACCAGGGGATGAAGGAACACGGGTGGGCAGGTGAGCACAGGGGGTGTTGGGAAGCAGAGTGGGGGAGCCCCTAAATCAGAGGAAGATCGGAAGTGCTTCCGTGCTAATGCCCGAGTGGGGCTTTGAAGGATGTATAGGAGTTGGGTGGATGAGGGGTGAACAGAGTCCCCATCAGAGGAACAGGCACCTCAAAAGGTGTGGGGATAAAGGAGCGGGCCGTCTAGGGAGAAATGTCATACCCAACACCCAGGAGAAGGAGCGTGAGGAAACGCAGGCATCAGAGGCGCTCAGCGGGGGCTCGGGGACAGTACAGAAGTCCCGGGTCCACGTCTTGAGCACTCAGCACTGGCCCTGCCGCTGGGCTTCGGCCCCCATCGGCCCCTCAGTGACGGGACTGTCGTCTCCGCCTGCCACGGTGCCATGCTTCGGGAGTTTTCCTAAACAGCATCCCAGGACCCACGTGGTCCCTCCCCCACCTCCGACCCCAGCAGAGGTCGGGTCACAGGGTCCCTGCCCTCCACCAGGGCGAGCCTGCCCTCCCCCTCAAAGTTTCCCCTCCCCCCACCTCCAGCCCTGACCCCCAACTGGTAGGAAATCCTTGGTGGGCTCACAGGGCACGTTTGCACACACACACACACACACACCCAGGCAAGAGGACAAAAATTCCCAAGCTCAGAAACCCGCCCACCTGAGGATGTGTCAGAGGACTCAGTATCATCTCGGATGTGGGGTTCCAGACGCCAGAGCCCTGAAACAACACCCTGGAATGTGCGAGAACTCGGCGTAAGGCACCCTGTCTCTGCCCACTTGACCCTGGCTGGGAGTCTGAGAGTGACGTCTGTCTAACGAGACAGAGATCCTGACGCGGTCTGAGACGCCAGATCAGACCCTGCAGGCGGCCTGGCTCCCTCCCCAGCAGATGCCCGTGTGCCAGTCCCGAGCGCCGGGCCGGCCCCGCGAGAGGGCTGAGGACACACCCCTGGAAGCCTGCTGGTCTTTGGACTGCCGTGGGCTTCGCAGGTTGGGGGTGTCCTGGACGCTCTGCCCAGATCCTCATCAGACGACCCGAGGCCTTCCCTCCAGGGGCGGCTGAGAATCTGAGCCACAAACCCTGAACCTGGAGCCACACACTGAGCTCCTGGGGTCTGGTGCCCCCCACCCCAGTGAACGGCTCTCGTCGTGTCTCTGGGCTTGTCGGCGAGAAGAAACGGCCAAGGCACAGGAGGCGCATCCCCCGCTGCCCGCCCGCTGTGCGGAGAGCCCGCTGCAGAACAGCAGGATGGCGGGCTGCTCTGGGTGCCCCTCATCTCCCCCCCACGGCCCCCAGCTGCCCCCGCCAGGGGACCAAGCCCGCTCCCCAGCGTGGAGACGCCCAAGTGGTCTGGCCACGACCCCACGGGGGCGGGCAAGGCCAAGAGGCGCCCTCACGAGTGTCGAGTCGATTGGCAGTGGCTGCCCAGAGAAGTCGTGGAAAGAATTCTGAAACCGCACCATGCGGCAGCTGATTGGGGATGCCTGCCACGGTCACGGATTCTCACCATCCCTGATCTACAAGCTGGGTGACTTTCCCCCCACCCGCAAGCAGGGGATAATTCTCCAGCCAGGACTTTGGTAGCACAGAGGAGGCCCAGGCCACCCGGGGCATCAACAACACCAGACTCCCCGATGGATTTCTCAGGGCCTTGAGAAGCACGTACGGGGCCCGTCATTCCTCAACTGGCCAAGACTCCGTCTGCCCCCTTTTCTGACGATGTGAATGTTGGTTGTTTTAGGAAACATCTCTCTAGAATAGAAACGCACTACAGGGTTAATTTCTCCTCTGTGAAAATGACTAAATGCCTTCTCTCTCACCTAGAACCCAAGGGATGGTCTGGCTTATCAGCAGAAGTGATCTCGGACCCACTGAAAGCTCTACCCATGGGAGGGAGGACGGGCCTGGACGCTGTGCTCTGGGCTCGGTTTGCAGGAACACTCCCCGTGATGCTCTGCTCCAAAGGCCTACATGTCCCCACGCATGCTGCACCGCCTCACTTGGACACCTTGGCCTGCAGGGTGCTGGGCAGATACAAGTACCTCCAGATGGCATAGTAGTGTGTGCCAGCACCGAATGCCACAAAGAGATGCCAGATGGCATGGGCAAAGGGGATCCTCCCGTCACTCTTGAAGAACACCATGCCCAAGCAGTAGAAGACCCCTCCGGTCACCAGCTCCCAGATGCCCTCGGTGTTGGACTGTCGGCAAGGAGAAGGGTGAGCACAGGTCAGATGAGTGGCCGGCAAGACCAAAACCACCCAGCCATCCCCCCACCACCCCAGACAAGAAGACACGTGGACGGCGGGGCCGCCCAGAGTCCCAGGAGGGGCAACTCAACACACCGATGTCATTAATTCTTCCACCCCACCCCTGCTGCACCAATTCATTCTCGTAACACATTTCTGTCAAAATTTCAAAGGGTATGTCATAGCTTTTTGTCTTTCCTAAAAAGCAATACATCAAAGAAGGGAAAGCAGAGATACACACAGATACTTGTGCAACCAAGTTCACTGCCACATCATTACAGCTGCCAAAAGCGGGGAGCAACCCAAGCATCCACCAGGAGGAGAATGGATACGCAGAATGGCATCCGTGTTAGTTTACACGATGGAGTGTTACTCAGTCTTTAAAAAGGAGGAGACGCTGACACATGATACAACACGGGGGAAACCTCAAGGACGTTGTGCAAAGCGAAATAAACCAGACGCAGAAGGACAGCGACCGTAGGCTTTGACAGTCTGAACAAGTCAGATGCATGGTTGGAAAGCACAATGGCTGTCTGGCTACCAGGGGCTGGGTTGGGGGAACAGGTAAGGACTGAGTTTAGTGGGGACAGGGTGAGGGAAGATGAGACAGTCCTGTGGAAGGACCGTGGTGATGGCTGTGCAACGAGATGAATGAACTTCACGCCCTTGAACTGTACCCTTAAAGATGGCTAAAACCATAAACTGTATGTGTATGTTATCACAGTTCTTAAAAAGTCATATGTATCCATGGTACAGATGTGAGAGTGGACTACAAAGAAAGCTGAGTGCCAAAGAACTGTGGTATTGGAGGAGATTCTTGAGAGCCTCTTGGACTGCAAGGAGATCCAACTAGTCCATCCTAAAGGAAATCAGTGCTGAATATTCACTGGAAGGACTGATGCTGAAACTCCAATACTTTGCCCACCTGACGCGACGAGCTGACTCATTTGAAAAGACCCTGATGCTGGGAAAGATTGAGGGCAGGAGGAGAAGGGGGTGACAGAGGATGAGATGGTTGGATGGCATCACCGACTCAATGGACATGAGTTTGAGCAAGCTCCGGGAGTTGGTGATGGACTGGGAAGCCTGGCGTGCTGTGGTCCATGGGGTCACAAAGATTCAGACACGGCTGAGCAACTGAACTGAACTGATCCATGGCGAAACATTTTAGAGAAAAACAAAAAGCAGTAAGAAAAGAGCAGCATTCGCGCCCTCCGAGATGAGCACGAGTGACACCTGGGTGGTTGTTACAAGGCCTCAGGGAGAACAGGAGGGACAGGGCCCTGTCTCCTGGGCCCCCTTCCCACAGGTCTCACTGCTCACCACCAATAGGTGTCTGATGGTATCCTTCCAGACTCGTCTATGTGCACACAATACACGGTACACACTTCATAAGCATGTAAGTGCCCAGAGGGACGGATCACTTAAGATAAGGGGGCTCGGGCCACACCTGTCAATATGATACATCACTTCCACGATGCAGTCTCGTGGGGATTCATCTACCTCGCCATGTGGGGACCCACCTTGGTCTTCGGAACAGCTGGGGAGCTTTTCATTGAAGGTATGTACAAGCACGCACCCAGCCCTCCATGGGGTGATGCCTGACTATTAAAGACATATCACAGTAACACTTCGCAGCACGGACTGCTTGCCATGCCCCATCCTCAGGGCCTGACGTGAGTTACCCGATGCCATCTTCACAACAATCTCCCGAGGCAGGTACAGCTCTGTGTGACGGGCCCTCAACATCACGCCAAGTGAGACAAGCGTGTGGTAGAGCAGTTTGTACAGCGTGATCCCATTTTTTTGTAAAAGAAAAGCAAACAAATCATCATGTCTACATAGCCACATAGACGTGCCTGTTAACCATCCGTA